AGAATGACCTTTACAGCAGGTAATCAACAAAATAATAGGCTTAAAGATACATTTCAAGCTGTGTCTCAATTGACTTTCTTCTCTAATTTCCAAATGATAGGTAAGTTTCATAAGCAGTTTCCATACCATTGCACTCAAATGCAATCTACCTCCCATATTTGTTGGTTTTTTTTCTGGACATTTAAAAAGAAAGCAACAAAAGTAACATTTTGATTCCATACAAACTTCATTCTCCATGCTACAATTAACACAGTTCCTTGTTCATTTGACAGCTGGTAGTTCCAGGAAAGCCACTGCCGCAGGCTTTCCACCAAAGTTCTTAAGCTTGAGAACAGCTAACTCAACAAGACAATCCATACCCTAACAACACTGCATTAAAACTGAATGCAAGATCCCTCTAATGGAGGCAAGAGATTCACTTTCTTGCCAAGCTATATTGAAAACACCTGTTAGATAACAGCATCACATCATTGCATACAGAAGAAGCACTCTGGNCCGCTCTACCAACTGAGCTAAGGTCGGTTTGTCTACTTGCAGCATTTAATAATAATGTATACACATTATACCACATTATTTGTTTTCCATTTTTTTTATTTTGTTTGTCGGATTAAAGGGTACGGTAGTGTCTCTCGCCTACGGCCGGTAATTGAACCGGGCTCCTCGAGTTCAGTTCGATTTTAACTTGTTTTAGAATTGTTCGAGTCGATTTATTTTTTAAATGAATAAAATTTGAACAATTTTTTAAAATTATTTAGAAAATGAGTTTGATAGGCTCGACTTGAACTCAATATGCTTAACTCGTTTATGCGTAATTACTTGAGCTTAGTTCGAGTTCAATTTAGTTTTGACTTATTCATATTCAACTCGTTTTTTATACGAACCGAGTTTGAACAATTTCTGAAGCTCATTTAAAAATACGAGTTTGACAAGTTCTACTCAAACTAAATCGGACTCTTTTGATTTTTATCCCCTACTCCCGTCACCACAAAATTTGAGAAGAGTCGAATATACATAATTTAAAGTTTTTTTAAAAAAAACTAGACGTAATCCAACTTCGCTTGCATACTCTTGTGGCATACAGGGACGAAACCAAAATTATATTCTAAGGGGGTCAAATGATAGCATAGTTGAAAAATTATTCAACATAGTTATTCAATAAGCTACAAAGATTTAGCTACGCAAAATCTATGAAAATTAACTTTCATAGAATATCATTGTAAGATTTATTTTTTTGTAATAAAATTCAAAATTTAGTGCCTACAACTGTAAAATAAATTAGTTTGTGATAACACACTATTCTCATATTTTTGCATTATTATACGATTTAGTGAGTATTGAATTATTTTAACAGATAATAATTTTACACTATATCATTTTAAAAGTGAGACGTGACCAAATTTTGTATTCCAAATTAATGTAGGTGTCGAATTGTTTTTGTCGGACTCTAAAGTCGGATAAAGAATGAGAGTTACATTAAATAATTGACATTTAACATAAAACTTGTCAGATCAATTATATAAGTATTAGTTATTTTTCATGCTTGAAAATACAGAGTAATAAAAAAAATAATTAATAATAAATAAATTTGTTTTCATATTCAAAATCAAATTATAAAGATAGAGGAGAGAAAAAAAAATTTATGTATCAATTGTAGTGGGCCCCGAGTGGTGGTAGTAGTAATGATAGTGGGAGACTGTAATGGTTGTGGTGAGTAACAACGACCATTACTGATGGTGGTTGATGTAGGTGGCAATAGCGATAGTGGTGGTAGGGCAGTAGGGGGGTGGTGATAGGGGTGATGGTGATGGTAAGGTGGCAACAACGGTGGTAATGGTAGGGGTGATGGTGGTAATGGTAATAAATATAAGAATAAGATGACGATGACGATAGTGGTGGGACAGCGACGGTTGGGGTGGTGATAGGACGATTTCAAACACTATTTAAAAATGATAATAATAATTATAAGAAGTTATAAATTTTAGAAGTACTCTTAAAAAATTACTTCAAATACACCTTTAGGATCCTATTTTTTCTATTAAATTTGAGGTGTTAATATTAATCTTCAGATTAACTTTAAAATAAAATTTTAAAACAATTTCAACCTCTAAAAGCAAAAGTTATTTTGTTTATCTTTTGATATTTAAATTAAATTATATTTTATTATATATAACTTTAATTTTATTTTAAAAAGAGTTGGAACTAAATCTTTTTTATAANCCGCTCTACCAACTGAGCTAAGGTCGGTTTGTCTACTTGCAGCATTTAATAATAATCTATACACATTATACCACATTATTTGTTTTCCATTTTTTTTATTTTGTTTGTCGGATTAAAGGGTATGGTAGTGTCTCTCGCCTATGGCCGGTAATTGAACCGGGCTACTCGAGTTCGGTTCAATTTTAACTTGTTTTAGAATTGTTCGAGCTCGATTTATTTTTTAAATGAACAAAACTNAATTGCTTTTGGATAAACCATTTTTACCAATTTTTAACACTTGTTTAACTAATCTTTATATATCAGCTACAATCTAAATAAGTGTAAACGTATCGTCTTAATCTTAGCAATTTGTAAAAATAAATTAAAACCTAGTAGATAAAGAATCCACCTAAGAATAAATTCCTNTTAGAAAATGAGTTTGATAGGCTCGACTTGAACTCAATATGCTTAACTCGTTTATGTGTATTTACTTGAGCTTAGTTCGAGTTCAATTTAGTTTGGACTTATTCATATTCAGCTCGTTTTTTATATGAACCGAGTTTGAACAATTTCTGAAGCTCATTTAAAAATACGAGTTTGACAAGTTCTACTCAAACTAAATTGGACTCTTTTGATTTTTATCCTCTACTCCCGTCACCACAAAATTTGAGAAGAGTCGAATATACATAATTTAAAGTTTTTTTAAAAAAAACTAGACGTAATCTAACTTCGCTTGCATACTCTTGTGGCATACAGGGACGAAACCAAAATTATATTCTAAGGGGGTCAAATGATAGCATAGTTGAAAAATTATTCAACATAGTTATTCAATAAGCTACAAAGATTTAGCTACGCAAAATCTATGAAAATTAACTTTCATAGAATATCATTGTAAGATTTATTTTTTTGTAATAAAATTCAAAATTTAGTGCCTACAACTGTAAAATAAATTAGTTTGTGATAACACACTATTCTCATATTTTTGCATTATTATACGATTTAGTGAGTATTGAATTATTTTAACAGATAATAATTTTACACTATATCATTTTAAAAGTGAGACGTGACCAAATTTTGTATTCCAAATTAATGTAGGTGTCGAATTGTTTTTGTCGGACTCTAAAGTCGGATAAAGAATGAGAGTTACATTAAATAATTGACATTTAACATAAAACTTGTCAGATCAATTATATAAGTATTAGTTATTTTACATGCTTGAAATACAGAGTAATAAAAAAATAATTAATAATAAATAAATTTGTTTTCATATTCAAAATTAAATTATAAAGATAGAGGAGAGAAAAAAAAAATTTATGTATCAATTGTAGTGGGCCCTGAGTGGTGATAATAGTAATGATAGTGGGAGACTGTAATGGTTGTGGTGGGTAACAACGACCATTACTGATGGTGGTTGACGTAGGTGGCAATAGCGATAGTGGTGGTAGGGCAGTAGGGGGATGGTGATAGGGGGTGATGGTGAGATAGTGATTGTGATGGTAAGGTGGTAACAACAGTGGTAATGGTAGGGGTGATGGTGGTAATGGTAATAAATATAAGAATAAGATGACGATGACGATAGTGGTGGGACAGTGACGGTTGGGGTGGTGGTAGGGCGGTTTCAAACACTATTTAAAAATGATAATAATAATTATAAGAAGTTATAAATTTTAGAAGTACTCTTAAAAAATTACTTCAAATACACCTTTAGGATCCTATTTTTTCTATTAAATTTGAGGTGTTAATATTAATCTTTAGATTAACTTTAAAATAAAATTTTAAAACAATTTCAACCGCTAAAAGAAAAAGTTATTTTATTTATCTTTTGATATTTAAATTAAATTGTATTTTATTATATAGAACTTTAATTTTATTTTAAAAAGAGTTGGAACTAAATCTTTTTTATAAAAAAAAAATTGCTTTTGGATAAACCATTTTTACCAATTTTTAACACTTGTTTAACTAATCTTCATATATCAGCTACAATCTAAATAAGTGTAAACGTATCGTCTTAATCTTATCAATTTGTAAAAATAAATTAAAACCTAGTAGATAAAGAATCCACCTAAGAATAAATTCCTCACATCAAACCGTGGTGATATAATTAATTAGAATTTGTTTCGATAAAACACAAAGCGAATGATTATTAATTCATTATGCAATTATTTATCAACCAATTTATTACTAATGAATAAAACTATCAATAGTATTGTGTGAAGTGAATTCATGTTGAGTTTTAACGAATATGTATAAAAAATATTCTATACATATCTGATTTATTTATTAATTTATATTTAAAAATTATATCATATTGAATTCGTGTCATGTATAAATCATTTACAACTAATATATATACACAAATTGTATCATATATTTATTTTAATTAACTTCACTCATACTCAATTCGTTTATTAATCGTGTCACGTCAAATCCACTTGCTTATGAATCGGATAACTCAAAGAAAACCAAAACTCTATAATTTTATAATCGTGTTCATATCACGTTGACGGATCACGTCATATTTTAACACCTCTATTAAAGAGACCAATGATTCGAAATAAAATAGCAGGAGAACAGAGACAATCTTCAAGAATTTGCTGGCTTATAAGCCTGAATATAAATAAAGAGCAGAGGTCGCCCCACCACAAAGTCCCCAAGTCCCACCCACCTTATTCATGAGTCTCTAGTTCTTCACAAGCAACAGATCAAAGACAACAAAACCATGTGTAGCTTAACAGAGTAGAACAGAACAAAAGGACATTAAAACAACTGTTATTTACAATGTGTATGAATCTCTAACCATTTGACTAGAGAACCCCAAAGAATGGATTCTTTATTGCATTGTTCAACTCATTCCCGGCTGAATGCAGCACTGCCATGTCGACTTTGTCTCTAGGCAGAAACAAGAACTCGCCATCTTCAATTTTCTCAAACCCACACAGCTCAAGGAAGGCAATGCCGCCTTCCAATTTGCCAATTCTATCCTGTTAAGCACAACAGAGTGAAACAACAAAAGAATCAAAACGTAGGGAAATATACAAGTTCCCTTGTGTTGGCAGAGGGTGGAAGAGAAGAAGTCAGTGACTCTACACGACAGCTAATCTATGTTACAATAATGAGGTGGTTAAGAAATGGCTCTTAATATACTCATTTTCTAATGATCAAGAATAAATCTCCCATAATAAAAAATTGCCGTAGAAATTAGCCATTCGTCACAAAAGAAAGAACTAGCAGTCACTGAACAGATCCCTGAATTTGAAGTACAAATGGATTTACAACCAGCAATGTACTCCAATTTGGAAAGAGGTACAGAATTTTTCTTTTTTTTTTTTGTGGCGAGGAAGTCCTTACTATTAATCAAATATGAATGCTAAAAACAATAAAAGAACTATCATATCTCAAATATGGTGCAGTGTTCAAGTCCCAAGAAAGTTTGGGAAGGGGAGGACTAGATATTCTCAATGTTGATGGTAATCAACACCATAAAAAAATGTTCTCAGTGGTAGATACAATACAAAAAATAATAATGACATATATCTGTGACAGAAGTTCTCACCTGAAAGGCAGCATTACTGAGTCTAATTTTTCGAAATTTCTCCTCGTTGGGATTTGTCGCAACATTCTTTGCATAAGTTAGAAGAGTATTAAATGCAGTCTTCACTTTGGCATCATCATCCTTGTCCATGGCAGAAAACAGAAACGAAATTAAATGCGAATTTGTTCTATGGCACTATGAAAAAATGACAGATGTACACACACAAAAATCCTTTCATTTGGGAATTGGTGTGGAGTGGCTTTACAAAAACTTCTGCAACGTCATTCATACGAGCCTCAATTGGTATATCGACATACTATTACTCGTTATTACCATCACAACACAAAATAACTCAGTAGAGAAGTCATTATTTACCTTATGGTTTTGCTTCAGAGATCGCAGGCAATCTCTCATTTGCTCTGCCTTTGTAGCAGGCCTAATGGGCAGTGAGCTCTGCAAAAGATAGAAAGTAGAAAACCTGACTAGGATTTTCAGAAATACAGCAGACATACAGTTTACTCAAACAAATTTGTACCTTTTTTTCCTCCACAACAGGTGCAGGTGGTTTGCTAACAGCATCTTCTGCTGGCAATCCAAGCTTACGTCTTCTTTCCGCCTGTGAGAACATAATGTAAGTTGTTCAGACAAATATCAACAAACAATCAACGTATACTGGGTATTTCGTAAACAGCACATTAGCATTTCATTTTTAAGAGTATACCAAGCATTATTTTGTTGTTCAAAGCATTACAACCATTGTTTGAAGTTTCATTTGTCAATCCCAAGTCACAGGATCAGGCATTTGGCTAGGAAAAAAAACGATTTCCAATTGTTATAAATTAATATGGACCACACTTATTCTCCTTTCTTTTCTCAATAGAGCTTACAACCAAGTATCAAAATTTTATTTCGAAATAGCCGAAACATTTGAAACGTTTCCGTTTCTAAAGAAATCGAAACAAATTAGTGACAGAATCGAAATTCTAATACTTTGAGGTGTTTAGTATTGTTTCGAAATATTTTGTAATATTTCAATGCATTTGTAAAATTATTTTGGAATGTTTCAAAATATTTCAAGATATTTTGGTATATTTCGATAAATGTTTTGGAAAATTTTTTTTTTATTTTTTTTCATTCTGTTGATCAAAATGTTTTCGAAACACGTCACATTTTCATTTCCTAGATGACTGAAATAATGCCCTAAAACAAAATTTTGATCCTTGCTTACAACATCATGTTGAACATAAAGTCCTATGTCTTGTCTTAATCCAACCAAGCTCAATCCCGATGGGCCCTATTTTATGATAGTGGTATTTTTTTTTTAACAGAAAAAAAAAAAAAAAAAACCTCTTACATATGCATATCAGTATTGAAATTCTGGTAAGTCTTTGAGCAAACCAACAAAAACAATCAATGCAAAAGCAACTGTCACAATGAAATGAACCTTCCGACAAAAAAAAAAAAAAAGAACTCTGACAATGAAGTATAATGCTACTGAAACTTAAATATGGATCTTCAAAACAAAAGGAGTTATGGAGGTCGATCCATTGCAGTCTTGGTAAAACACAAGCAATGTTTTATAAAAATACCATTCATTAAACAAGAAAAGGGACTGTGTTACCAATCACATGTGAAGTTGTGAACTTGTCAAAATAGATAGAGCAAAGCCTAACAAACTTCATATGTGCCCAACTGGCCTTTCCGCTTATTGCCAAATGATTTTGAGTTGGAAACACAAAAAGAAGAAGAGGAGAGTTCAGACACCCAATCCAGGTGGGGGTGCAGTGCATCAATTTCTAAGAACCCATTGTCTCTTCCCCACCATCAAAGCACTTACCAATGCCTCGCATTAAGGAAATAGTCATGGATTCAGTAACAAATTAAAGACCCTGCTTACAAAAATTTAACCAAAGATTTTACACCGCCATCCACCCTACCCAACCAGCATTTATGCAGATTAGGGAGCAACATGGGTGAAAGTGTCCTAGGGTACATTTGTGTAAATAAGGCACCACAGCACAAATAATTGAAAATATAATAGAAAATTTTACAATGGAGCAGAGCAGATTGGTGAGCGGACTAAATTAAAATCACAGCCTATTCTAAAAAAGACATCTGAATATGTGCATATGTAGCCCTACAGACTTTCTAAAGTACAAAATGCACCAAGTGGAGAAAGACAAAAATTTGGTCGTCTTCTTTGCAACACATCACAAGTACTAATCTTTCCAAGAGCCACTGTCCAAGCAAAAACCTCTACTTTAGAAATAACAGAATTTTTGAAGCAAGGGAAGAAAGGATAGAGCTTCTTTAGGATAATTTAAGTACTCGGTGTCCTTGTGGGCTTTGATGGCAAATGAGTTCAAGGATGCGCCTTCTTATTTCCTTACTATTGATTCGATAGCTGCATGTTGCTAGGGCAGTTCTTGTGGTGACATAGGATTTTGTGTTTTTATATTGATGTAACTAACTGCTTAGGTTCATTTTTGGCTGGATTTCTTGTCCACCCATGATGTAAACCTTTATTTAATTAATGAAAATTTTGTTTTCTATTAAAAAATGTAGCCCTACTGACTTATTCTGCAAATTTAGAGGATTGGTCAATGAACAGAACAAATTCAGATGGAACAGGAAAAAGAAAAATGAATAAATATTCTCCAGTCATAAATTATCAGCCCACCCTCAGGTGGATGAATGCTTAGATGATTCTAGAAAATAAATAAACCATACTAAGTTTACCAACAGGGGAAGGGGGAACCAATAGCCTTTGCTCATCGAGAAGTGAAGTGCTCCGAAATGGGCACAGAGTAACACTTATGGATGACAAGTTAGTTGTTATGATCACTAAAAGAAAGAATCAAAACATTGAACAGAATAGTAGGTTATCATCAATACCTTATCTTCTTCTAATTTCTGACGAATTTTCTCCCTAGCTCTTCGCTCTTCCTCTTTCTCTGCTTTTCGCAAGGCCAAAATACTGCAAGAGCAGAACACAAGGTTTCTCTCAGTGTAAACAATTAAAACTGACAACACAAGAAAATTGGGTTTTTTTTTTGGGAGGGAGGGGGGAGGGGGAGGGGGGGCAAGAGATAGGCTAACCGTTTTCTTTCATTATCTTCCTCAATTCGCTTTGCTTCAAGAAGCTCCTTACCAATTCGTATTCGCTCCTAAAGTAAATAATCAAACAATGTTACTATCTCCAGTTTCAATAGCTGCATTCCCAATTCTACTGATAAAATTACACAATGTGTCATAGCTGCAAAAGTCGCCAGGACAAAGTCAATATAACGTTAGGAGATTGATAAAGTAAATAAAGAAGTACCTTCTCTCTCTCCCTTTCCATTCGCTTCTCTTCCTCTTCTTTCTTTTTGCGAGCTCGCTCCCTTAAAATAGCATAAAACATATCCATAACAGATCCAATGAATCATATAACCAGATATGTCATTTACTTAAAGACATAAATCAAATAACATAATGAATGATCAAAATTCTTGCAAGCAAAGAAAAAACAAAATCAGGTTGTATGAAACAAAAAAATACTTTGAAGTTGAAACAAGATATGCTTCAAGATCATATGAATAGTACATCACTCACATACCCATGTGGTGATAGCAATTTGACACAGGACACAAACAAGTACCCACAGTTGCTCACGAAAGCTTATGAAAAGTTAACCCCAACATTTTCCGCTACTGTGAAGTGAATATAAGCTATGAAGAGCTCTTAAAGGATAGACATCACAATCACCTATGCGCTCTTTAATCTAGGAGCCCTCAGAAACAACAATTTCATCCAAGATGTAACATCTGGGATAAAATAGGAATATATAATCAGGTTAACTTGCTGATACAGGACAATAAAGACATAAGCCTAAATTTTTATATTCCTTTTCTTTTAATTCTTTTTCATCCTTCCTTTGGGCTCTCTTTCTCTCTTTCTCTCTAATAAAGTTATTCTTCTGCCAAAAAGCTACACAGAAAATTAGAGCGACACAGTCCATAAGATTCATCAATGCGTATGCTTTATTTGTCATTGATTGTTGACAAGTTGGAGGAAACAAAAAAAAAAAAAGAAAGAAAAGAAACTTACTGTTGGATGCTACATCGCGATATGTTGAAAAGATGAAATTTATAACCAAGCCTTATCTATGCTACTGTAAAATGTCAACAAAAGTGAAAAACTTGGTAAAGAAAAATTCCAACTCCTTTCATGCTATCATTAAATATCCAATTCAATGCATGATTTCTTCGAGTGTCAAAAATATATGAATTGTTTTTACTATTCCACAATGTGTAATGCACAACACAATAAATGAGACCTTTTGACTTCATTATCGGGCTGGTAGAATACGCACAATGCTTTGGATTAATGCTCCTTTTAATTGCAGTTTATGTTCCTACCATCTTCTAAGTTGAAGTTGGATGGACATTTGTTTAATTGAACTTGCAGAAATACAAAGGGCCAATACTTATTACGAAAAGTAAAGGAGGTAATTATATGAGGTTTGTGCATCACAGCCAATGAAGGGAGGTATGCTGATTTTTACTGGGAAGGTCCAACATTATTGATTATAAAGATGATAAAGGGATTTATATATAAGTTTGTACATCTAAACCAATAAAGTAGCATGCTGATGTTGATGTTGTTTTGGAGCCTTCTCTCTTTAAGCTACACTAGAGCATTCATGTTCCAGCCTATTGCTCTTGCAATTTACAATGAGTAAATTCTTCATATCCACCAATAGTCTCATACAAACAAGAAAAGACAAACTATTTGCATCTCAGTAATGGCACAACCTTCTCATTTATTTTTGAAGTCTTGATGTTTGACAGTATAGATTGGCTTGCCACTTATTACACAAACCCAACCTTGTTATGAAAGAATGAATTTTCAATTCAATTTACATGAAAATATTGTAATTAACCTATGTATCTCGGATTGAAGCATAGTACATAGTAGTAATATTGTGTTGTCTTTTGTAGTGGTTAATTGTTTACACTGTTGCTAATTGGAGTTTCGGAGTTGGAAAATTAAGTCCCTTTTATGAGATTTGATGTGAGTAATTAGAATACTACTCATTTTCTGTAAAACAATAGTGTACCATCCACCGAATGTTAACTGACGCAAGAGATGAATTTTTCTCCATGCTTAAGCTGGCTTAATTAGAATGCATGTTCAATTAATTGTCACAAAAATACATTATTAAGATCAGACTCTTATTACTGGTATAAAATGGGGTCAAATTGTTGGATTAGACTTTAAGAGTTAGTATGTAGCATTATGCATTGTTATTCTACTGTTTATTTCATTTTTCATTCAATTTTTTGCTTGATAAAAACCATATCACATACTCAAATATTCCAACCTTGATCAATAGAACTATACAATAAAAAAAAAAAATTATAGTTTGAATTGGTTCATGTACAACGCACATTTATTAACTAGTATGNTTATCAGCCCACCCTCAGGTGGATGAATGCTTAGATGATTCTAGAAAATAAATAAACCATACTAAGTTTACCAACAGGGGAAGGGGGAACCAATAGCCTTTGCTCATCGAGAAGTGAAGTGCTCCGAAATGGGCACAGAGTAACACTTATGGATGACAAGTTAGTTGTTATGATCACTAAAAGAAAGAATCAAAACATTGAACAGAATAGTAGGTTATCATCAATACCTTATCTTCTTCTAATTTCTGACGAATTTTCTCCCTAGCTCTTCGCTCTTCCTCTTTCTCTGCTTTTCGTAAGGCCAAAA